TTCACTTAAAGGGCCCACATCACTTAAAAACTAATATCCCTTTCTTCTTCCCTTTATTTTTTTTTAATAAAACAGTTTGAGGTAGTTTGTAAACACTGTTGAAGTTTCAAAATGTACCGTTCACCCCACAGCCTATACAGTCCATACACAGACACTGATTTCTATTTGTGATGTCATAAAAAACAATACATTTACATATATCTACATATACATATATTTACATCTTCAGTCACTATGCTCTTCCACACCAACGAAAACAAGTAACAAAAGGGTGCATCACTAACGTTAGCATTAGCAAGCCTAGCTTTTTAGATTTTAAAAAATCACAATATATCGCCTTGCTTACAGTATCGCATTATATCGCAATATATTGAATCGTAACCCCATATCATGATACATATTGTATCACCAGGTTCTTGCCAATACACAACCCTAGTCATGCAATGCTAACTCTCATTCTTAGATAAGCTGCAGGTTGTTCTGTTGTTGTGTTCAAGTATTTATTAACCTGACTCATAGAATTTCAAGATCATAGTAACATTTGACAGCACATATATAAACAACAGCCTGTGTTTACTACTGTTTTGAAACTGAAGAAGTATACGAAAGTAAAGTATAAAAAGAGCTGGAAGTAACGTTATTTCTGTCTCTTTCACTCGTTTGCGATCTCACTATCTCTACAGTTTCTTAAAACTTCTGCTTAGGCTAGTCAGCTCATCAGCTAGCTAATGTTAGTGCTATTTAGCCTATCCCATTTTCTTTACTTCACGTTAGCCTCAAGCAAAGGCTAGCTAACAAGAAGGTAAGTACAATACTGGGTAAGAACTTGATAGCTAGCTTTATTGACCATAATGTGCCATAAATTTGTATTGTTGTATCTTAACTCTTGAACTAGTTACTGTATACGATGTATACGATGTGTTTTGAATAAGGCCTAATGTTTATCTTAGCTTGAGCTAACATCACAACAGTCAATGTCACAACAGTGATTACCAACTGGAGTTATAGTTTGCAGAGCGAGTAATGCAGCCAAGGCAACACTGGATTAGCGCAGTCTTAGTGGCTGCTGTCTCGGTATACTGTGAATTTGGAGACAAGATGGATAATGAAGAATGAATGAGGAAATTATTAAAGATATAAACTATAATGTATATTTATTATGTGAAGCCCCCCTAAAACTGTGCATTGTCAAATGGAATTGTCAGTTCTCAATTGTCACATTTCTTAAACTCAAAAACAGCAGAAACACACAAAGTCTTATGTAAAGTAGATATTATGATAGCACTCATTTCAGAGCAGTGTGTTCATTAACACAGTATGCTGTTAATGTCAATATATAATACATACTATCATAGATATAATTTGGCCAATCATTTGATTTAGTCAAACAGTATCTTATTTGGGCCCTAGAAATTAGACCTGAGACCTTAGAGTTGTTGGCATTGCCGTTTTGCTTTATACAGTCTCCAATACAGCATACATACAGCATAGCAAGGTATTTGTTGTTTTTTTATTTATTGATAAAAAAAGTGTTTCACTCTGTCTGCAAAATCTGACCCTTAATGACATTTAGCTGTAGCACACTCTGAGTCATAAAGCAGACTCAAAAGCCTCTATGGGATTTCTATGAGTAGACTCTTAATTAGAACATCTCAGAGCTATGAGTGTCGTGTATTCCCCCGACACAGTCGACTGAAGAAACAAATGGAGGACACTGTGCTTTTTTTCAAACCAGAGGTGAGGTTCTGTGTTTTTGGTAGTGATGCACCAATGTGGAATTTCTGGGATGACTATGATAACTGATAATTAACCCAACACTGATACCAACAACTGTTAATTTACTTTTTTCTTAGTTAAGAGAGTTATAATCTGTGAAGAACGTCTATTAATAAATAGTCATGCAGGACAGTCATTGTAAACATTTACATATTTAGCAAACATTTTTATCCAGACCGACTTATGATGCTAGGTAAATGTAACATTAAGAGCCTAGCATAAAGGCTTTTATCATCGTAGTAGTGGTGTTCTTGGCTAGACAGGGAATGAAACCATTTTCTGTGTGTGGGGAATTGATGTTATCTGCATTGGTGCCCATGCATAAATAGGGCGCTATGTTATCATGTGTGGGACTGATACTTACATGTTTCCTAGATATTAGTGAGTAAATTATAAGCTACCAATGAAACATGCGTCCCTAGTTTTTGGACATTTTTCAACTGGGCAGTTTGCTACAGCACAGTACGGTGATTCTGGTGAGTACACAGACAGTGATTCTGGTGAGCTTTTGTTTTATATATATGTATGTACATGTGTGTGTGTGTATATATATATATATATATATATATATATATATATATATATATATATGTATATATGTATATAACTGCACCAAAGCACACTGCACTGCCCAATGAAAAACCACCCTTAAAGTCCACTCTGCGCTTTTCCACAGTGAACTTGTAATGGATCTGGGTATAATATGAGGCTGTAGCTGATCTGAATCAAAACTATTGCTTTAGCAATGTGCCCCCGAGTTATGAACTTGGCAGTGTTTGTGTGTATGTGTTTGTGAGTGCATATGAGATCCAGACCTAATAGCAAACAGTCCCATGGATTCAATTATTCTTCGGATGTGTTTACTTTAAAGAGAAAGTGTTAGCCCAGCCCTGAGGACTGCTCACACTAAACTGAGCTTTTTTGGAGACTAAGATCAAATGCTTTTCATGTTTTTTCCACATTTTCCCCCGCCGCCATCTGTTCCTCCTGACTGAGTCTGATCTCAGATCTCCCTCTACTCTTTAGACGTGTTTTTTAGCTGCATGTGGGGAGCATAATGATGTAGAGCACACCAGACGCATGGGTGGACACCACCATCTTATTATTACTGCATTATATTAAACCCAGACCACTGTTGTATGTGACATGGCTTTAAATTTACTAATAAAGGTGTTGATCTAAGGTCTTAAAATAACCAGATGAATGTTACTCGTCACCTGAAGTTACTTGCCTAGCCACATTGTAACTTATTTTACCTCATATCTTTTAGCTCAAAAACAGCAAGTTTTGTATAGTTACCTGATACCAAGACTGTGTAGAGTGTAAAATGCTTGTTATCAGTGCTTTTTTGCAACGCTTCTTCTTGCTAGAGCTGTGCTTTGTAACATCTGCTACCTGGATCTTCAACAATGAGACGTTTGGCATCCATGACTGTTTGTGCTGTGCTGTTTGCTCAGCATGTTTTAAATCTCTCTCAGCCAGACAGCTGAAGCAGTTGTGATTTTAGCTTCTTTTTTCCCTCTGTCTGTCTCATGGTCATCCATGAGAGGCCGTCACTGCCTCTGCAGAGAAAACATGCGCGTACAGAAAGCTTAGGGTGAGCATTCCGTAGTGTAGAGTTTTGTTCTGCTGCAGTGCTTACTGGGTACAGATTAACTTACAATGTCAAACACACTACACATCTAACATTTCTGAATTCTATTTTCCGTCATGTCCAGAAAGCTGCAACATGCTAATGAGCTCTCTTACTTTGTGTTTTACTGTATGCTGTTTTGATGAATAAAGGTTTATTGTAATCCAGCAAACGCATCATTTTGGTGGAAAACCAAGGCATGCAGATCTTTAACTATGTTACATTATTGTTTCACCTGTGTGTTTTTAATGTATTAAAGGCACGTTGAGACTGCAGTGCACAGCAGAGCAATCACAGTATGGAATTCTGTCTGTATCGGGCAGATGATGCAGTATGATGAGCTGGTCTGATGGGATGAGTGTAATATTTAGTCTGTAATCTCTGGCTGGTGATTGTTCTCTCTGGCTCTGATTGAGGCAGGTCAGCTCTCAGTAAGCTGCGTGTTTTTGAGTTTTTTACTGTAGCTGTACTGAGGCATCAGAGAGAAAAGCCAGAATAACAGCTGAAACATTAACAACAATAACAACAATCATCATCATTATTATTATTATTAGTGTTGTTATTATTATTATTATTATTATTAGTAGTAGTAGTAGTAGTAGTGGGTGATTGGTGCTATTTTTATTTAATTATAGACATATTAATGAATTATGAATAATAATAAAAAATGTATAATAATGATGTTTTTATTACATAGTTTTTTATTTTTTATGATTAATATTAATAATAACAATGCAAATAATAATAGTAATAATAACATTATTACAATATTATTATTATTATTTTTATTGTTGTTAATGTCAACATAATTGATTGTGGTGATGGTGGTAATAATAGTAATAATATAATAACATTATCAACAATTGATAAAACAGTTGTTGTTATTGTTATATAATTATTGATTTCTATCAGTTAAAAGTACTGATTGTAGTATTTTAATTGATTAATAGGATATAGCTGATATTAATAATAATAAAAACAATACTATTACTACTATTATTACAACTACTACTACTACTACATCTACTGCTATTATTATTATTATTAATAATAATAATATTATTATTACTGATATTTACTGAACATTTTAATGAAACATGATTAATAATAGCAATTACAATCATTATTATAATTACTATTAAACTATCATTGTTATAAGTAATATTGGTATTTAATATTGTTTAGTTTATACAGTACCTTTCTGAGACTCAAGGTTACTTTTCAGAAGGCTTACATGATAAAAACTGCTTAACTGGCACAAAGCAAAGACACCTGCTTTAAATAAATAGAAAACACTTATATGGTGCACACAGGAACCAGCACAGTGTCCTTCAGTCACACACACACACACACACACACACACACACACAGTGGGAGCTGTGAGAGTCCTGCTGTGTGAGTCATGCTGTGTGCTCCTCATGCTGAATTACTGTATTTATCATTTCTTTTGTGTCAGCACTTTGCTTCCACACTGCAACAGGGTTTTAGGTTGGTGTTACAGAACATTATAGAATAATATGAATATTAACTCTGATACAAACGTGTGAGCTCTGTAGTGACCAAATTTTGTTTGTTTGTTTGTTTATTTCAGACACTGCTGCTAAGAAGGCCTACATAACCGAGGTAAGTGTTAAAGACAGGAGGATTTCTTTAAAGGCATTACCTTTAGTCTAAGGAGAACCCCAATATTTTTCATCTGCTACACCAGTAAACTGTTAATTAGAAACAGAAATCTCAAAACATACTTATAATGGAAGCCAATGGGCAGCTACTAAAGCATCGTCAGAGTATTACTTTAATACCTGCTGCTAAATAAATGAAAGAAATATGTAATACTACTATTAATGTTGGATAAATTATATAATATACTTTACAAGCTATATTTTGAACAGTCTCTCTCTTTGTCTCTCTCTGTCTATCTCTCTCTCTCTCGCTCTCTCTCCCTCTCTCTCTCTCTCTCTCTCTCTCTCTCTCTCAGATGCCCTCCTCATCCTGCCACTCAGGTTCTGGCCCTGAGAAGAAGATCGGCCACAGGAGGGTGGACGCATCAGGAGAGACCACCTACAAAAAAGTACAAACTTGAAGAGAATCATACCCATGAAGCCCACCGTCTCTATCTTTACCGTTCTATTCCCTCTCCATCCTTTTCTCCCTCTTTCTGTCTTCCAGAAAAGCCTTCCTATGCCTTTCATGTATCTTTTTCACTAATGTTCAAGTTAGAGATGAAAGATGAATCTTTTATATATCAAATCACAATTTGAAGAAGTGCTATTTTCACTCATATTTATCAAATGATCTCTGTTTGCTAATAGTTAGCTGATGTTAGCAAGGTTAGCTACAACATGGCCATTTACCATTAACATTTGGAATTCCTTAGCTGTATTTACAGATAGCAAATGACATTGTGTAGAAATGTAGTTACTGAAGGGCGAAAATCATCCCAGTTGAAAATTTCATACAGCAGTTGATGGCACCTCCTCATCCACTAACTGTAACAGCCTGCAGCCACTGAGCGCATACAGTATGCAGCATTTAACAATCTTTCAGCAGTTCTAGTTCATCGTCTGGTTATTAACAATAGGGCTGCACATGCTTTGCATTTTCTAGTGAGAGCACAGACTTTCCAGTAAGGACTTTGGGAGTATTTGCTTTGAGACACAGTGTGTGAGTTTTTGATGCATTGTTTAAAGACAGCAGAAGCTTGACCGCTCTGTCTGTGTTTGACTCGCAGACGACCTCCTCTGCCCTGAAAGGTGCCATCCAGCTGGGCATTGGCTATACAGTGGGCAACCTGAGCTCCAAGCCTGAGAGAGATGTGCTCATGCAGGATTTCTACGTGGTAGAGAGCATCTTCTTTCCGAGGTGTGTGTGAGTGTGCGTGGGCGAGTGTTACTTACACACTCATGGACAGAAGTGCAGTAGTTTGGAGTGATTTATATCAGTGATCTGAAGTGAGCTCTCTCTCTCTCTCTCTTTCACTCTTTTTCTCTCTCTCTCACTCTCTCTCTTTCTCTCTCTCTCTCTCTCTTTCTTTGTCTCTCTACTTCTCTCTCTGAATCTCTCTCTTTCTTTCTTTCTTTCTTTCTCTCTCAGTGAAGGCAGTAATCTGACTCCAGCGCATCACTATCCAGACTTCAGGTTTAAAACCTACGCCCCTGTGGCATTCCGCTACTTCAGAGAGCTCTTTGGGATTCGACCTGACGACTACTTGGTAAGGCACACATATACACACACACACACAAAAATCATCTCTGTAAATCTCTGACATCATAATTCGATTTGATTACGATTACGAAAGAATGCAGTGTATCATGAAATCCCAAATTTCACAACGATTGGATTATTTGAGTACAATTCGGAAATAGGAATGTTGATATGCTAGGCTGCACTAGATCAGATCAAGACATCCCTATTCAGAGTTGTTGTTTTTTTTTATACATTGCATATGTAAATGTGACTTAGAACTATTTACACATTAGTGGTATACTAATAAGCTTTGTTTGAAAATAGCTCAAGACTTTTATTTTGGTCAAAATAAAAGCACCTATTTTATTAAATATCATTGTAATCGATCTTAATACACAAAATTCAAAATTTGATTCAATACAATATGATACAAGATGAGAAAAAATATGTAATGCTTGAACAGGTCCGTTTGTTAATGTCTGTAGCTTGTACACAGCTTACATGCTTCAAACAAGGGAACGTAGCAATGCAATACCATAATATTTTCAACTCTGAGTTCAAGATTTAATAACATTTTTGATATAAATAGCTCTAATTCTATACTACACTGATTGCTAAATAAAAGTTCTCAAAAGATGATAAGCAAAAGACCCTTGGAAGAGACTGAGGGGTGTATCGGTGATGCAGTTTTAAATTCTGATACAAAAATTCAAATTTTTGATACATATTGAAAAGACTTAGCAAATTAGCACCACTCATTGATAATTGTTCCACATTTTGTTTATGCATAGCAGATTGGTGTGTGTGTGTGTGTGTGTGTGTGTATGTGAGCATTGATGGAAGATGGCCACACTGCCCCACCATCTGGGCGGAGAGAGGGGGTCTGAGTCATTCCTTTGGCAAAGGTGTAGCGTCTATAGAGAAACACACTCAGTGACTCACCCTCAGTGTGTGTCTATGTGTGTATTAGTAATGCATCATTTTAAAATTCTGAACTCAGGCCAAAAAGCATTATTATGCTCTTTAGTTTTTTAATATTTATTACTTTTGAGGATAAATATGGATGACAGTCACTCAGATACAAGCAGACCTGACAGCTTTGCTGTGAAAATAAAGTTTTTTTTAAAACTTGAACTTAAAAACATTCTGTCACAGCCACAGGCTGCTTTCCGCTTGGCTGGAATAGCAACTTATCTCACAACATATCAGTTAAATCCATACATTAGTTAATGTTACTGAAGAAAGTAAATGTATAGTTTAACTAAGGAGCTTCCAAAACAGGCAGGCACTGAATTTTATGACTACTTTGACAAAAGGTTAATATTAATGCTTGTTTTTGTCACTAAATGTAGTCAATCAGCAAAGATGTGTTCGATGTTTGAAGTTTGCTTCTAAAGTGTTGGCCTGGAATGTGCTGACCATGTTACAAAGATTTTAGTCTTATTATATGGTCCAGTGTGACTTAAAAGCAGGGTTTTCATTGGCTGCAGTTCGTCTTGGCCAGAGACTTGCAGTCCCAGATCAATTTAGCTAAGATCCCCATAGCCAGAGCAGCCATGTCAGAGGGTTATCACGAGTTAAAATTAGCCAAATTAACAGATAAGGTGTTAACCTAATATGTGTGCACAGTATACACAGAAGATTACAGTAAATTTACATGTGCAGTATTTTAAACTTAAGCTAGTGTAATTTTAAATCTTCCCTTAATATCAGTAGCAGAAATGCAGAGTTAATCTGTTGACCAAATACTGCAGTGTCAGGTTGGATACGTCATATGTCTTTATGTATTAACATCACACAGACTCAAAAGGAAGAACTAACTCGATGTTTGGGCCCCAAATACAAATTCAACATTATACTGATGAAGATATGATAGCGATAGTAGATAACTCACTTACGTCATCAGAAGAAGTGTCTTTCACCAAGTTAAGACTGAGTTTTCTCTGAATACTCTTTCAGTGCACTCACATCAGATTCAGACACTTGTGCAACAAACTTTACAAAATGTTCTTTTATATGTTGCATGCAATTCCACATTTGCACCAGAGAGGTGTCCAAATTCCCAAATCTTACATAGTTTAGCTTTAAAAGTACATTTAAACGTATAAATGAAATATTTTTGTTTGTTTGTTGGTGTGTAATGTGGTGGTATGGTGAATAATGTGTGGTGCTGTTACTCACACAAAGACAATTCATCACAACTGTGGGCAGTTTTATTTTACATGGATATGAATTTGGTTGGATGTTTTAAAAATAAACGATAAATTTAGATGCAGAGAAACTCGAGTGATTGGACAAAGTAAAAGAGAAAAATCTCCTGGTCTTTGAAATTTGTGACAAGTATAAGTATGTTTTTTTTCTCTTGGAAATGTAATAGAGTAGAAGTACAGGTATTCAGGTACAAGTACAAATCTTCTAAAATAATACTTAGGTACATAAATGAAGTACCATTACTTATCCCCTCCCCCTCGGTATGAGAGTGTGGAATTGAACTGTGGGCCCACATACAGTTTAAGGCATTGAACAAACCTGAATGTTTACTCAAATCACCACCTTAGTCATTGTAATGTTGTATTATTAAGACAAAACACAATATGAAAATGCTTTGAAATAACAAAATAACTCCAACTATGAACATCTATGTTCTCTCAGAGATGAAGGTGTGACCATTTGGTGATGTCAACCAAATGCTTTCAGGTTGGTAAACAGTGATGATAGCAGTTCATAGACATGCATACACATTAAAACATTAAAAAAATGTATAAATAAAATGTAATACGGTCATATACAAAAAACGTTAGACACACCCAAGATTGTATGCTTTGTTGATTTTCAGTTAGCATATTCTCGACAGGAAACAAACTAATTATGGAATTTTGTTGAGTAACATTGACGTACTGGAAAAGAACTAAAATACAAAATATGCCAAAATTTTTGCACAGGCCACATTCTATGTTTTATTCTTTCTTCCCCAATATGTTAAATTCAGTAACTAAACAGTGATTGTGCATTAAAATGTGCAGAAGTGTGTTCCCTGTTCCCCTTTCACTTAGAAAGAAATTTTGCCCAGGGGCACCCAAATCTTTGCATACAACGGGTATGTGAGTCTTGAACAAATCTTTAGATTATTCCATAAAAACTGAGGAAGCTGTAGAACATTAACAGTAAAGTTCTAGTAAAATTGCTTTCGATAACGCCTCATATTTGAGACATGATTGAATCTCAAGCAAAATAATGTCACACAAAATAATTACATATTATATTCCCAAAATGCTTGAAATGTTGAATAAAACATATTATAAATGCATTCCAGTGTCTTATAATATTTAAATCTAGATTATGTAAGTTATGTTTATATATAAAATAATTAAAAAAAGCTTATTTTATTACAGTGTATAAACACACACACACACACACAGTGTAGTGGTCACTGAGGTTAATTGAGGCTGCACTATCTGCAGCGTACAGCATGCTAACCCTTCAGTTTCTGTGGATCAGTAAGGGACTCACTCCGTAATTAGCTGATGGGTCAAATCAAGTGCTTTAGAGCAGGGAAAGCACAAAACTGTGCAGTAAGTGTGTAAAAATGTATGACAATGCATCAGTCTGAAGATGGTGATTTAACTGCAACAATTTTGGAACATTAGAAATTATTTATGTCAAAATTTCTTTTAATCTATCATAATAATGCTAAATAAAGTGTACATAATAAACAAATACATTTCTTAGTCTTCAAATGCCCAAAATGTCCAAAGGGAAGTATCACTTTTAATGTTTGTGTCTGATTGCTGTGTAAATAATTGGGGTTTTTTTCTGGCCTTTTACCCAATTTTTTCCCCACAATTTAGTCCTGTACTAAATTGTACACATCTTTTCAAACTGCCACTAAAGAAGCGTCATTGGACAGATTAGTATACTTGGAGGAGAACACTAACTGCCAGTCCTGTTATGTTACTTACCAGACAAGCATGTTTGCTAGCATCAGGCTGAGTGACTGGGGAGAGGGGAATCCTGCTGAGATAGCAAGACAAATTATGCTGTTTTGGATTCCCAGCCACGGATGGCTATGGTATCGCCGCAGACCAAATTCAGCATCTCCCCATGATACGGCCAATGCTTTATAGTAGCACCCCCCCTATTCATTGAATTTTTACATTTTTTTTTTAATCATTATGAAATTTGAGATTTTTTGATGCACTGAATCATTTCCCTTAATAATCACATTTTCCTCCAGGGCCATACTTATACACATTCTGCTTCAGAATCGATTGTGTTTTTCAGTTAACAGGGGCCAAGACCATCATAGACAGGACAATGTTTGATCCTAGAAGCCTTTTTTCAGCACTTTCACAGCACCAGGCAGTGTTAACGGGAAGGGTGTGTCCTTTATGGATGGATCTATGATAATGATTTTACAAGCTGTAGAGTATAAATAGGGATAAACAATGCATGATGAAACTGTTCTGGAAATATTATGATTCGTTTAAGGGTTTGTTATGACAGTAGGGCTATGTGAGTGTATGTATGTGTGTGGGAGGTGCGTGTGTGTGTGTGTGTGTGTATGTGTGTGTTGTAAGAACATGCCAGTGCTGTAATCCCACACACACTGCACCTGATCCAGATGGGGATTACCACACTAATACTTTTCCTGTTAAACTCTGCACTGAAAGTGACAGGTACCCCCTTCCTCATTAAAACTCAGATCTAAGTGTGAAGTATGTGTGGATGTGGACATGTTCATACTTCTAGTGGGCAGTATATATAGGCTTTAGCGCTATTATGGCTGTCCTTATAGCTCCAGTATTTATTGGCATTAGTGCATTAGTGCGACCTCAGAAGACCCAGCAGAGCTTGTTGCATCACAGAAAGGGGGAGGAGCCAACACTGCTAACACCACTTACGTTATGTAAACAGAGTATTTACACAGTCAAGTAGATATAAAATGTATATCTATATGTATGTATGTATAATTTCAAAAATATATAAAAAGAGGTGAATGGAAAACCCACGTGTGTGTGTGTGTGTGTGTGTGTGTGTGTGTGTGTGTGTGTGTGTGTATATATATATATACATATATATATATACGCACATATTTTTGAAATTGTGCCTTAAAACTCTGGAAGAAAAAAGCCAGGAATGTGCAAAAATGCCTAAATGGTGGAAATGAAAGTCACATGTTTGACACTATGTCCTATCAGAACTTTTTGCTGCAGTGATGCTTCCAGAGGTTCGGACAGCCAAGTGATTCAGTGAAGGTTAGCCCTCATTAAATGGGTCACTGCTCACTCCGCTTTGTCCAGTATCTCTGAACTGTTAGAGCTACAGCCATGTACAGCTGACAGAATGCTGTCAAAATTGCTCTGCTGAGCTAATAAAGATTTAAATGTTTCCAGTGTATGTGCCACTCAAAGCAAGCAACACTCTTCAGAAATTTGCGTGTAGCAGTACTTGATGGAAACACTCATTAATGTGCATTTTTTTGCCAACTTTTGGTGAAGTCTGCTTAACATTAGCGAAACGTTTGAATGGAAAACAAAAGGAGCAAGAGAATTGAAGTCCATGCATCGCTGCCCATCAGTAGTGTATAGCTGTGCAGGTGACACATGGAGTTTTTATCCTAAGAAACATTAACATTAACACTCTCTCTCTCTCTCTCTGTCTTTTTCTCTCTCTCTGCAGTACTCTTTGTGTAATGAGCCACTGATCGAGCTTTCCAATCCAGGGGCCAGTGGCTCCATCTTCTACGTCACCCGTGATGACGAGTTCATCATCAAAACCGTCCAGCACAAGGAGGCAGAGTTTCTGCAGAAGCTGCTTCCTGGATACTACATGGTGAGGCCACTACATCTTCCTGTTTAAACTTATTACACTGTAAGGCTTATTCTTCAATAGGCCTGTGGCCGGTCAAGGTTACCAAGTTACTGCAGTAACAGCCCACGGTAATGCTAATTTATTGATAACAGTTCATTTGTTGATTAATTTCTTGCCAACCATAATGAGACACTAGTATTCCCACATGTGAACATAACTGAAGTTTTAAAAATGTTGGTTAACGTGATTACTGCATTAATACCATTTTTATTGTACCTAATGGGTGAAATTGTTTTAGAAACGTGGCTGTTGAGCTGCACTGGTTAAACACACTCGGGGTGGGTGAAGGGGGTGGAAGCACTGCACCTGTATAAAAATTTGCCTGTTACATTGTACGTTTTAGAACATTCTCATAGCACAGCATTAGGTATCAGATACCAAACAGCTTTGCTTCTCAGGGAGAAAAACTGTCATGTGTCAGTTCTTGTTTAGTTTGACATCTGGAAAAGGCATCAGGCTAAACGGCTACAGGTACAGCGACCTTCATGTGACATTCACAATTCATTTGCTATGTAAATTAGTTTTTTCGCCAATTAAAGATAATATACAATACTCAAAAACAATATACTATACCTACAGCTTTTACTGAACTGTACCATTGTTATGTTGTTTAATTTGACATAGAATTAAGCTTCAACTCCCACACTGTCACTTTGTTTGCTCTTGTGTCTGCTTTTAGGCTCTTGTGTCAGTTTTAGGAACAGTCACAAAATTACCAGTAGAAAAAGTGTCGCTATTATCCATCCATCCATCATCTAAACCGCTTATCCTTCTGGGTCGCGGTGGGGTGCTGGAGCCTATCCCAGCTGTCATTGGGCAGAAGGCAGGATACACCCTGGACAGGTCGCCAGTCCATCGCAGGGCAGACAGACAGACATACGCATTCACACACACACACACACTCACACCTAGGGGCAATTTAGCATGTCCAATCAGCCTGACTGCATGTTTTTGGACTGTGGGAGGAAACCGGAGTACCCGGAGGAAACCCACGCAGACACGGGGAGAACAGGCAAACTCCACACAGAAATGACCCAGGTCACCCGGCCGGGAATCGAACCCAGGCCATTCTTGCTGTAAGGCGACAGTGCTACCCACTGTGCCACCATGCCGCCCGCTATTATTTTTATTGTTATTATTTTTAGTATTAATATTGTTATTGCTGTGTGTAAATGCTTTGTGGAAATAAATTGAAAGTTGAAGCAAAGAAACCCCCACCTGAAACACACCCCCAAACCGTTAACCGTTTACCTTTATTTTGTACGTGGTTACCTCGGTAGAAGTATTCTGTGACTGGCACAGGCCTACTATTTATTAATTAGACTAAAAACACACACACACATCTTCTAAGCCGCTTATCCTTCTGGGTCGCGGGGGGAGCTGGAGCCTATCCCAGCAGTCATTGGGTGGAAGGCAGGATACACCATGGACAGGTCACCAGTCCATCGCAGGGCAGATTGAAAACAGTGCTGAGTTATTCTAAATTTTAGTAGAGATTAATAGGAGCATAGATCTGCTGAAGGGTACTGACCATGTAAGTTACACATTTCAAATGCAAAAATTCTAAATTATTGTTGTGGCTTTGTTATCCCAGTTTAAACATCCTTCCAACGATTCTGTAAAAAGTACATCAGTCACAGCAGTTGTTGTAAATATGTGTAATCAGGACATTTGTGGGGTGGAACTCTGCTTGCTGTTCCAGGTGCTCAGACTGAAACCACACTGACCGACCACTGACTAAAGCATCATTTCATCTAAGATGTGTCTTATATGAGGGATTTACAGTTCAGAGACCATGCAGATTATAGAAGTGTTCCGTGCAAAATCCATCATTTAATGCGTTTGCTGTGGGGCATTATGGCATGCTGTACGCTAATGTCATAAACCCCTTAATAGGCTACAGTCAGCTGTTTGTCTTCTGGTCTCGGCTCCTACGACAGTGGCCAGACTGTGTCTAATTAAGTAGGCGTAGAATGTTTTGAAGTGAATAGCGTGGAGTAGGCGGTGGTGCAAATGAGTCACCGTTAGAGTCTGCCTCCGAATTCAACAGACTCTTCCATCCTGGAGTTTTCCAGCACTTCATTATGGGGATCGTAATGTGGCCTTGGTACAGTGGTGCCCCTGATCCTGATGTAATAGGGCTGGCCAGCAGTGGGTGTGCAATGTGCAGGAGAGAGATAGAGGAAGAATAAACCAATGCTAAGCATTCGTAAACCATGTGTACACTGACCTCTGGAACACCATACAAAACGAGTAATATATTGTCGTTCTCAGAACAAAACCTTATATTATATATAAGTATATAATATATTTTGTTCATTTTTTACATTATTTTAAAATACCAGCTGCCGTTTTCACTTTATCAAAGTTTCATGACAAACAGACCAATAGAAACACTCAAAATGATGTAAAGGAAAATCTTGTTACGTTAACTTAAATTGAAAGTTAAAATTGTCTCCTGTAAAGTTACTTTTTTGAAGATTTTTTGTTCTGACAGCAGCAATATTTTAAAATATATTCTATTTATATTTTTAATATACTGACAACTTATAAAAGTTTGTTTCATTTTATATGGGGCAGAAGTCGCGTCTGGCTGGAAGTCCTGCGTAAATAAATCAGAGCAATCTCCACAGCCTTATGATTTAGAACCAACGACTATTAGAACAAGACCTTCAGTTCAGGCCTTAAATGTCAGAACATACCTGTATTATGATACTGAAGTCAGCTAGTATCCCTGTGGGATTTTTGTTTATGTTTTATTTGAAACTTACTTTGAAACAATAACAAACATTAGCATATATTTTACTTTGTAAGTTGCAGTTTTACAGTGACTCTTTCACTCAAGGGCCCTGGCATTCAGCTTCCAGCAATTGACTGAAATGTGTTTAGGCTATTTGATTGGTTGATTCCTCTGCTGCTTCCTAATCAGGCTGGTAGTTAATCTAATGTGCAAGGCCTTCGGAAAGATGGAATATTATGAACATTAATCAGGCTTATCTCATCCATCTCACCCTTCTTCTCTCTCTTCTCTACATTTTCTCTTCTTTTCTTCTTCTCTTCCTTTAGAATCTGAATCAGAATCCACGGACGTTGCTGCCCAAGTTCTTTGGTCTGTATTGTGTTCAGTCTGGGGGGAAGAATATTCGGATTCTGGTGATGAATAATATCCTGCCACGGGTTTTCCGTATGCATCTGAAGTTTGACCTGAAGGGCTCCACTTACAAGCGTCGGGCTTCTAAGAAAGAGCGGGAGAAGGCCAAGCCCACCTTCAAAGACTTGGACTTCATGCAGGACGTGCCTGATGGACTACTGTTGGACACTGACACTTACAATGCGTTAGTCAAGACACTGCAGAGAGATTGCCTGGTTAGTGTTTAGATGTGTGTTATGATGTGTGTTACCAGTTGAAAACCTGCAACATTTTTTGTCTATAGTTTGATGTTATTTAGAGTACTTTTGTTATTTTTGGCTTACTAAATGGTGAAACTTGAGAACTTTTGAAGACCACTTGCGGCTCTTCACTTTAATTACTTAATGAATTAAGCAAGATGTGCATTTACTACAAAGTTAGTACAGTATGTGAAATGCTAATAAAAACAGAAAGCAGTGATTAGTAAATTCTGTTTGACCTGCATTATGTTTAAAACTGTACAAAAACATGATCTTTGATGTTGAACCTTCTGAATTTTATTGCAACACATTTCAAAAAAGTTGAGATAGGAGCATGTTTTACTATGGTGTTACATCATCTTTCATTTTTAACAGCACTTAATGAATCTTCTGCAGCTGCGCAGCTGTTCAGGGCATATTTTATGGTTCATAATGTGTTATATGTTTTGGATGGGAGACAGATGTGGAATGCAGGAAATTCTAGCACCCGCACTCTGTAATGGTGTAGTTGGTTTTGTCTTGTTGAAATAAGCATGAATGTCCTTGAAATGTCTAGAGGCAGCATATCTTGCTCCAGTATGTGTATATATATTTTTTTAAGGTTTAATAGTGCCTTCACCAATGTGCAATGTAAAAAACGCAAGGAACCCATGCAATGGGCACTAATACACCTCCGTTCAATGAAAGTCGCTGGCTTTTGAACTTTACTCTGGTAACGATCTGGATGGTCCTTTTCTTTTTTGGCCCGGAGAACACAACATCCACTATTTCCATATGCAGTCTGACAGACTGGCTCATCAGACCAAAATACACATTCAGATGAGCATGAGCCCAGCACAGTTGGCAGCGTTTCTGGATGTTCTTGACATAGGGCTTCCGCTGTGCATAGTACAGTCTTAACTTGCATTTGTGGATGCATTGACAAATACTGTTTACTGGCAATGGTTTGTAAAAGTATTCCTGTGCTTATGTGTACAGAAATATGTTTTTTATGCAGTGCAGTCTGAGGGATTGAAGGTCACAGTCATTTAGTGGTGGTTTTTGGGCTTGCTTTCTTTGGATTTCCTGAATCTTTTGATGATATTTCAAATCCTTGCAGTCACTCAATGGGGAATGTTGTGCTTAAGCTGTTGGATTATTTGCTGACACAATTGTGAGCCTCAACCCATCTGTGTTCATGAAGGCCTAGGCTTTTCCTGGACAGTACTTTTATATGCAAGCTTGATTGCATCACCTTTTGAGTACCTTTTTGGAAGGGGTTGCAGGCGTCAATTTTAGAATTAATGTACAGTTATAAAAACACAAAAATGTATAAAGTAAAGCATTAAAATCCTGGCTTTGTATTGTTTTTCTTTTAAATATAGGTCAAAGTGGATTTACAAATGACTGTTTAATTAGCATTTCACAATGCTGTGTCAACATTTTTTAAATTTAGGTTTGTGTGTGTATTACTGTGTGCTGCAGATATTTAAGACTCTGAAAAATAGTATGTTTTCGGAAGCATTTAATGTGGTGTATGTATTTGTGTGTACAGGTGTTAGAAAGCTTTAAGATCATGGACTACAGCTTGCTGCTGGGCGTGCATAACCTGGACCAGGCTGTGCGTGAGCAGCAGATGGAGGGCTGTCAGAGTGGCGGTGATGAGAAGAAGCCTGCAACTCAGAGAGCGCTCTACTCCACAGCCATGGAGTCCATCCAGGGAGGAGCAGCCTGCGGAGACTCCATCGACACGGATGACACGTGAGTGCCTGCACATTTGATTGTTTTTATCAGGGAAGTCATACATACCTCTTTAAGATGTCCCATTAATTATATGTAAGTATCTGTATGTAATAATAATATGTCCCATGTGTGCGTAAGTCAGATACCACCATTCCTATATTTAATTTCCAGTCAAAATGGCTGTTAAGTACAACGTTTTTAGGAGATATTTCTGAGGAGATTGGATGTAAGATAATCCACTTACATAAAGATTAAAAAAGAAAATTGAATTCCTAACAACTGTGCAAAACCAAAACTGTCACCTTTAGATAAACAGCACTGAAAAATACACAGCTCTTTCTGTCCCTCTACTATGGGTCTGAAAGGATGTGTACCTGTCAAGAAGCCATTAGTGAGAAAAGAAAATAAAAGAAGAAAAACTGCTAATGAAACAGTGAACAAAAATTTGATATTTTATTTAGTTTTTGAGGCTTCTGTGTAATTTTCTGTTCAATATGTTTTCTTTTTTTCCAGAATGACTTGTACATAATGGCTGTTTTGACTGGAAATTAAATAAATAAAGGGTGGTCTCTGACTGCTGCACAGTACTGTATGTGCAGATGGGCACCCTCAGGGCCTTCTAGGCCTTCATAGAAGATCTAATGATTTTTGGGTGCCAAAAATGCATGTCCATAATTCTTAGCCAATTTTCATTCAATAGAATCATGCTCATATTTCAATTCTACAAGTATTACAATACTACTCTGGTTTCATTGTTAAGAATTGCATGGGAACAAAAGGGTTAAATTATTGAAATGCTCAGTGAGAGATAATGTAAATGCTGCGGCAGTTACATTAGGGTGCCTGAATGCACCAGCATGTAATTGCTGCATTGGTTAAGTTGGGATGGAAAATTCAAATACGAAGCTAACTTTAGCCTCATCAGCAAGTGCTCATACAAATTGCTGTTAGCCTAGTGCTAACAAACTACCTGAATCCTATAGGGACGCTAGTCAGCATCACTGTTGAGGTGTTTTTTTTTCCTCATTTTTTGACATTATTGCCCAAATTGAAGGCCTAGATCTAATGGTCCCAGTTTACCACTGTGTATATCTAACTTATGTTTACTAATGATTTTCTAAGCCTTGTTTTGCCCTATTTGGAAAATAGCCCTTTCTAAATAGCCAACAGCCAAGCACAGATTCATCTGTAAGTGCATTTGAATGCGTTAAGGGTTTTTATTAGTCTCATTGATGTGGATTTATTGAAAATTGATTTAATAAACTGGTAAAAAATAGTGTGTTGTTTTGGTAGTTGTAATTTATATAACTTTATATAACGAATGATCCATCTCACTCACTCTCTCTCTCTCTCTAGAATGGGGGGAATCCCAGCAGTCAGTGGGAAAGGAGAGAGACTTTTGCTCTTCATCGGCATCATAGATATCCTGCAGTCCTACAGGTACAGCATATATAGCATATGTACATATATATGAATGTAAATGTAATTAATTCCTTGACTAAATATGGAATTATGTAATTGCATGTAAATCATATAAAAAACATCAGTAATGAATCTAGTCTTACAAAGGTTAAAATGAATGAACTTGCACTCTCTGTCAGTCTACATTGGTATCCAGATAGTCCTCAAACCCATCACACCAGCATGTATGACCTGATCTAGCATGAGTGGGCTTGGCGTTCGTAAGCTGCCCTGTGGTGTTTGGTGTTATGTCATGTGTAAGAGGCACTCTTGCATAATCGCCATGAAAGAAAGCTTTAAGTGAGAAAACACGCCATCCCATCCTGACTCTGCATTTCTGTGTGGCTTTGCAGACTGCAGCTCAGTAAGCTAGTGTCCATTTCTCTTGCAGACTCATTAAGAAGCTGGAGCACACATGGAAGGCGCTGGTCCATGACGCCGTAAGTGTGAAAAGAAAAAGCCCGTTTAGAGGCCAAAACATCCGCCCTCCACCTCACTGCTGTCTTCTCTCTAATACCATGTTTGGTCTAATTCAAGTGTCTGGCTCCACTACATATGTCTACAGACTTTTGAGCACATAATTATTTATTGCTGCTTTTCTGTATATAATGCATAGCAAACCAATGCTGCCAGTGGTATTGAACACAAAGTGGTAGTGGTTTATGTAGTTTCTGGCACTGTGTACTTTAAACCGCAATATAGATTTGTAGCTGGTCATGTGATAAGCAGCAAAATTGATCGCTGACTAATATGCTTACATTTATTACTGTGATACAGTCCAGCAAACAGCATAGACTGCAGTACAGTGTAGAGCTCTGTAATTCACTACAGTACAGTGCAGTAGTTACTGTATACTAGTTGTCACTGGGTTGGAATCATTGACCGCTTCCTGACAGTGTCCTGTCAGGTGGTGAATTATTAAAAGCAGGGCACCATCTGTATGGCACTGTGCCCTGCAGAGTAATCCCACTCCCTGGCCTCATGCATGTATGAATGAGTGTGAGAAGAGGGAGTGTGTGGGTAATGTGGAGCTGCAGAGGTTGATGGGGAGCATGAGTGGACTTTAGATACGGATCTACTAGCTCTGGTTTCGCTCCAAAGCCTGAAGGCCTGGAGATACCATCACTGTGTGGCCTTAATAGGGGTTGAGTGAGCCTTTCTTTCCATTGCACTGTAACCTCAGGCTGATTATGGTCAGAGTACAGTGAACAAGACAAGACATGATGACTAATACAGTTCCATGATAAAGAAAAATAGAATATTACAAGAATGTATCAAATGTATTGTACTCAGTCTCACCATTATCTGTATGTTCTCTCCTCTCCTCTATAGGACACAGTATCAGTTCACAGGCCAAACTTCTACGCTGACAGATTCTTGAAGTTCATGAGTTCCACAGTGTTCAAGAAGAGCTCTTGTAAGAACTTCACACCATTTCATACGCTGCTAGTTCTTATTCTGTGCAGGAACAAATGTTGGGATAAACAGTGGAGTAGTTTCTAGCAGCGTTCACTCCCTAGTTAATACTGTCCATATTTTGTTGTGGGAATGTCTAGACACCTCATGTTTTGATTGGATGTCTTCTCAGGGTGCCAAGATACAATTCTAAAATGATTCTCACTGCATCTCGTTTTGATTTATACATCTTACATTATCATTTTCTCCTGTTTTTGACATTAAACAAGGTGTGCTGCAGCTTAGACACACTTAATCTATTTTATTTTTAACATATGCTTTAACTGATATACTGAACATTAGCTGATTTACCTTTAATTTAATTTTTAATCAAAATTACATATTTAGTACTATATTAATGAGTAACAACACCCCCCTGCTGGAGAAACTTCAGACTGCTACATGTGCTGTAGTCCGGTAAATTAGTTCCAAAGTCATGCCCACATGCATTACATGTAAAAAAAAAACATTGTTTTATATCGTTATTGTGACATTGCTCTAGTATTCAGCTGTAGACCCCTCTGGGAAACCATGAAGTATAATATTTTCCTAATTTTACTACTCATCTGAAACATTGGGTCACTTAAGCTGTACAGAAATTACTGAGAATTTTCCTCTGACAGAATGTCACCCAGTATATATTTTTACTTTGTATGCTGTAGCTTTGCAGTTAATTATTCTGTAAATGTTTAAACTTAAAAGCCTCATTCTAAATAGAACTGCATTAGTAACAGTGCGTCTGCTGGTTGTTATACACAGACATATTTTTATGTTCGGTATGTTTACTATGGTTTCAGGCCTTTTACTTATATTATATCATATAAATGAAATTTGAGACCACTTTGTGACTGCAAACAAGCATGCATTACTGAGATCCTACATTTTATTTCCTCCTCCAAGCCAGCCTGTGCCAAACATCTTACTTAATAAAGTCTGTGGGTGCGCGCATGTTTATTTTACAGTAGAGGAAACGCATAGCCTATACGAAAATCCTATTATGACGTTTTATGAAACGTTTCAGAATCTTTCAAAAGACAATCACAATGCATCTAAAAATCAATTGTTTTTCTCACCTCCAGTCCATATACATCAGCTAAGCTGCAAAAAGCAGCCTATTTTAAATTCATCATTGTTGTAATGGATCATGATCATTCTGGAAATTAAACAGGCTCTAAACAAGTAAAGAGAGGTTGGAAAGTGCTCGTATAAAAATGAATTATGACATACAAATGTTGGAAATGTGGTTCTGGAAAAAATGCAAGAAAAACGAAGTATAAAGCCCCTTTACATTTTGAAGTTTAATGTTTCTGAGCCTCATAGATTCAGAGCTAGTTAATTCCTCTGACCTTGTTTCTCTCTCTCTCCAGCTCTGAAGTCCTCTCCCTCTAAGAAAGGCCGCACAGCCCTGACCGTGCCCAAACACATCGGGCCTGGGGCAGCGTGGTCAGCCAGCCAACTGCCCTCAGAGAGAGATCAGAATATCTACGACCTGAGAGGAGCGCGCAGCTTCCCGGTGCTGGAGAATGACGGTCTGTGTGTCTTTCAGCCTCCTAAACATGTGCATGAGAGAAGAGTATAACAGCACTGTTTTTCACTTTTTTTCACAGACGTCACTTATTAAGGAGATTAGTAAATATTAGTAAATGAAATGTCATTCTGATGGCTTATGTAGTGATGTGGTGTTTATGTAGCTAAATGATATATATTTGACTTAATTATTTTTTTGTTGTCAATAAGATACGTCAGTATTTTTACACTATTATAGCGGTGTCTAGATCACTTTTTGTAAAGTATAAGTGGTGGACTGCTAACAATGCCAGTGACAACAGCTGTTGTAAAAAGCACTATATAAATAAATTTGACTTTGGCAAACAAGCCAATGGTAAAATCTTTTCCTGTTGTATGACTGTGCTTCCTCGGTATAGTCATGTTTGATATAGCAACACTAATACAGTATGTTTCCAATCTCACATTTACTTCTCTCTTTTTCTCACTCTCTCTATATATATCTCTCTTTCTTTCTGTCTGTCTTTCTCTCCCAGGCCTGCAGCCCTGCACCCCTCCATCATTCGAGGAGGCCACCACAGCTTCCATTGCAACCACACTGTCATCCAACACGTCCATATCCATCCCTGAGCGATCCCCCTCCGACACCTCAGAACATCCCCGATACAGGTACACGGCACTCCCCCTGTCCCACCCATGATGTACCTTAAAGTGATAGTGTGGTAAAAATCAAAGTTACACCATTTCCCCTCCAAATGTAGTAGATCAGCAAAGACATGTTTAACATCTGAAACTTGCTTCTTTAATTTTATACTGAAGCTAATATAGCTAACAAGTCATGGTACACATATCCAAAAACAGCTGTGGCAGCTCTCTTGAGGCAAAATTTTGTCCATACCTTTGTCCAGAACTAAAGAACTAAATATTGGACACCAGAAATGTCTTGGCAGTTTAACTGTGTTCGGGTTAAGAGGGGTAAACATTTGATTATCGTACTATTAATGCAGAATATTCGTCGTAAACAATGTAACATGATTTAAAACTTCAGGTACAAAGAACTACATGTGAGCATTACAGAGCTTTACTCTATAGCTTGCATTTCCCCTGATGTCAATATAATTACCATATAATTACCATCTAGGCTAGCTTCTAATATTACTTAATAATTCATAACATGCCAGTGTGCCAGTATTTTAGTTTTCAACCAAATGAACATTGGGAACCATCTGTATGTAAGATTATTAGAACTCAGCCTGATCTGTAGCAGAGAAGAGGGTCTGTCAAATCAACTAACTGGCTAAATCTATAAACTAGCACCCTTTTTTCGTGAAGCTTGTACATTTTACTCTATACTGCTGTATGCGTGAGAGAACAAAAAAACATTAATTTGCATAATATTGGTTTATTTAAATTACTGTAATATTCAATAATATCAGTTATCAACCGAAGGCTAATACCAAATCATCAGCTGAGGAAAAAACTGCTCCCCAGCTGCCCTTTAGGCAGAGTATTGATAGATCTGTTAATCAGCAGTGTTCACTGTTCAGATACATCCTGCAAGTGAAGGATTTGCCATAGATGATAGAATTTCCATTCCAACCATGATTATTCAATTGCAGACAAGTAGTTTCTAAAGCCAGCTTTCCTGATTTAAAGACTACAAAATCCACTTCTGATGATGTATCTTGAAGGTGGAAGTAATTTTTGAAAGAGTGCAAGTGCTTTGTTTTTATTTTCCATTTGATGTTTCCGTTTGCTTTTATTTAAAGCACATTGAATTGCCTTTGTGCATGAAATGTGCTTTATAAATAAACTTGACTGAATTATTCCTTTAACAAGGAGAAAAGTTTGACGACCAGTTGAATTTAGTGCTATATCAGCAATGCTAGCTAACACCACAGATGTATTTATTAGCTTCTAGGTCAGTGACTAGCAATCACGATTGGTTGAGCGTGGCAGGGATTCCCAATGACTGTATGATGTATTTTGCATGCTGGGTATTGTAGTGAGAGAACACTGATGGGCAAAAACAGGAAAACAATACCGTATTGTGAATTCTATCGTATAACAACAAATAACAAATAACAAATTAAATGCTAGCTATAAGCTGGAGTACCCTTTTAACTTGTGACCCATGACAGCAATATCCTTCCTTGATTTTTTTGATAAATAACAAAATATCCAAGTAGAGCGTATTCATATTATTCTTTTGTTAATGTCATTGAAATATTTTGACGGTTTTACACTGCCAGTTTGCAGTTTGTAGCCCAGTTTATGTTAAATATCGGTGTTGGGTTGCTAATGACCTGAGGTATTACAGAAACATCCATACCTTTAAGGGTTAAACAGCAGGAAGAACATTTTCCACTCACTCTCTTTTTGTCTCTTTTTGTCTTTCATCAGGAGACAAACCTCAAGTTTAAAAGACAGTGATGGGAGGTGAGTCGATTTTGGAGCTGAGAGCTGAACACTTATCTGGAGGAGTTGAATTGAAATTGTCCTTTTGTTCCTTCAAATACTAATTAGAAATCTGTGTGTTTGTGTACGTGTCTGGTGGTCATTCAGGGTGGTTGATGTCCATGAGGAAGACCAGCAGACTATCACTGTGCAGGTGGAGGTGAAGAGAGAGAGGGAAGAGGAAGAAGTGGAGAGAGAGAGAGTGATAGAAGAGAAAGAACCTGCACTCTCCCCTATTCCACTTCCTACACATAGCAGGTAAGCTCATATGTACTACGTCTCCCATAATGCACTGCCACCAGTCTCAATTAGGACTGCTCAATACATATATCGAATTGAATACATATTTGCATATCCAGTGGTTTATTATAATTATCACGACAGATTTGCTGCTTCACATGAAATTATGACCCATCTGACGTTTTCAAATTCCTGTTTTTCCCAAACACCAAGGGACAATTTGTAGTTTTCCCCTTTTCTGCAAATGTAGTCAATCATTTTTATGTTTTTAAGTTCTTTAGTTTTGCACTAGATCTACGAGGCTAATGTAGCTAATAATGCATCACCAATTAGCTTTGTGCTAACTAAATGCCTAAATCATCACACACTCACCACAAACCACATTAGGTTGCTGAGTATCCCAGGTAGACTTGCTTTATATAGCATTCTGTTACTTATAAAACTGAACAAAAAAACAGATTCAGGTTAATTGAAAATTAATTCAGGTTTCGTCATGGTTGCTAACAATGATTTTAGCTATGCTAAGTACTTTTGTCCATTTCTGTACATAACAGTATGTCACACAGTGTCAGTAACCATGTAAGCTATTACACTAAGGTTAATGCTTTACCGAAGTAAAAAAAATCACCTGTTATTACATGAACAATAGGTGATATTTTAAGCGATTAAAATTAAGCTATCTCCCCAGTGTTTGTACTGTAGGATCAGGCTTCTCTAAGCAGGACTGAGACTCTAGCATATGGTCCTGAGGGCTTTACTGCAGACTCCAGTGCCGAAAGCTTGATCTGCCATCTGCCCACATTGTCTTCCCAAAGTCACTTCACCTGCTGTTAATACACTGGCCTGGGAGAAGTGTACACTTTAATTTGCCCGGTTTGCTTAGTAGGTGTATTGTTTTTCTGTGATTCAGTTCTGACTTACTGACCATTATCCTTTGGTGATGGTTGACCAGTACTGCTTTTTACTGAGCATCTGTAAGAAAACAAGTTTATACCTGCATTAAACCTTAAGTAGTTTTTAATGTGCAGTCTGCAATTATAGAAGTGATTTGTTGAGTAAGTTGTAACATTAACAGTAATGGTTCAGTGTGTGTATAGTCAAATTTTGTGGAATGAAAAACATTACATCTGAAGATTCCAAAAAAGACAAAAGACTTGAACCTGTCAATACAGGATGCATATTGAATGTTAGTGTAATTCACTGTATAACGAATTATATATTTAATAACATTAGTGTTATTATGTTTAATGAGACACTCTGGCCAAAATGAAAACTGCTGTAATTATGTCTACTTGTATCTTCTAATGATGCAACAGTAGTCTTGAAAGAGTGATTTTCCAGACAAGATGATGTATCTTTAACCCTTGTGTGGTGTTCATGTTTTTGGTACTCAGTGGTCTGGGGGACCCACCACATTATTGTAAATCAATACAGCCATAACAATTTATGTGAAAATACCAGATGTTTAAAATATCAGAAGTGGCCAGCGTAGGGTTCTCATTTAGCAGCTGTAGCCAGTCAGCAGCCTGTCCATGTTGTCCACCCTCACACTCTCATACAAACATATACACACACAGACACACACACACTAACAGCAGGCCATGTAGGAAGAGAACAGAGTGAAGGGACACAGCACCTCCACACTTTTATTCCCCTGTGGGTTCACCCCAACACCACGTATAATATAAATGTGTAGGGGGTGAACAGTGTGAAGTCACTGAAAATGTGTTATTTTATATGTTCTTCACAGAAAATGAGTAAAGCCCAAGGAATCTGAGGTTGAAATAATAATAAATCGCATCATTTTTTCTTTTGGTAAACATCGAAAATGGATCCCACAGACCCCAACACCTCACAAGGGTTAAGGAAAAAAGTGCATTCGTACTTTTGGAAAACTGCAAATGCTTTGTGTGGATTTTTGGAGGCTGGCTGTTTTCAAACAACATAGATTTGAAGACACTTTTCAAAAAACCATGCTTAGTTGTATTTATTAGCATAAACATCATTGACTAGGCTAACAGTCAGAATGTCTTGACACCACAAGAATTCCCAATAGTTGTATGATGTACTTTCATAATGCATGTTGGGTATTGTAGTGAGAGTATATTGATGGGAAACTGGAAAACTAAAGTCATGATTTCTATCAGGCTGACGAGGATGAGGAATATAATGCTACACTCGAGAATAATAAATAAAACTGTGTAACTGCCCCTTTAAGTAATATAGCAAAGTCACATTAATAATTCTCTGTTCTCTTTCTAGTCGTATTCTAAACTTATCTTTGTGTCGCAGTGAGCCAGTGGAAGCTGTGGCTGAAATCCGCGAGACCGAGATCCTGGATGACATTGTCCCGGAGACGCCACCCCCTCGGCAGACAGCAGCTGTCCTGCGGTCTGCATCACCATCGGCAACCGTCCTTCTGGAGGCAGTTGCTGTGGAAACAAGCCCCCAGGCTGCAGCGGTGGTCCCCATGCCAGGAGCTCCAGAAGCGGAAGCCTCCTCTCCTGCACCCTCCAGCTCCAGGCCCAGTGGGGGTCAGACGGAGCCCGGAAGGCCACTCTCACAGTCCTTCAGCCAGGGCTCTTTGGAGGAGGAGGGTGTGCCAATCACCGATATCTACTTTGTAAGTCCAGTTTAAAGTGTGTAACACTGGTGTGAAGTTTGGGTGCTGAAACTTTGTGGCAGCTGGTAAAGATAGCTAACTAGAGTTCAAGCAAGAGTTCAGTGATAAACCAGATCTTCACAAACACAATTTTCACTTTACCCCAAATGTAGTCGATCAGCCAAGACATTTTTGGAGTCTGAAGTTTGCTTGTGTGGTTTTGTACTGCAGCTGCAAGACTAATGGAAAGGGGGAAGACCGTGTTTGTTTTTTGTTTTTTTTTGCTGAACTACTGCTTTAACAGCGAGGCTTTGTGCAGAGAGGGAAGAATAATACTGAGTTGCATGTTCCGCAGCAAAGCAGTCTGGATGATGTAGTCGAACTGTAAAGGTAAAGCCGTGTGTGTATGTGTGTGTGTGCATGCATTGTTCCTCTCTAGACAAAAAGAGAGAGAGTCTGGCATGGCATCCCTCTCTCTCTCTCTCTCTGACTTCACAACTTCATCTGAGTGACTCACTACAGTGTCTGATTCAGTTGCGTCCTTCTGTCTGTCTGCCTCTCTATCTCTGTGTCTCTCTGCCCTTCCTCAGCGGACAGAAGGGCTGTCCTGAGGAAAGCAGGTTAAGAAGTCTGCCAGTGCTGATGTTTGGGACACACTTGCCTACACAACTCACCACAAACTACTACACTGAAATTTATATATGCACTGCGTTCAGTGAGTACACTCTTAATAGCAGTACTGCACTGATCTGCCCAACAGTTCTTCAGTGTCTTTTGAACAGAAGGAGCTTGTAGGGACTTGTTACGCTAACAGAATTTGGCTCCTATATTATTTATGTCTGTGTTGTGTATCAAAAACAGTGATAATTAAATTTTAATTAACTGTTTTCCCATGTCCCATTATTCCTTGGGATTAAAAGGCAGTATTTGTTACATGGCATTTAAGAATATATGTAAATGAGCGTTGTTCTGATTGGCTGTCCTGTATTGTGCCTCATTCAGAAAGCAGTCCAGACTGAGACACTCTTTCTAACTTCAGTGTGAATGAGTGGGGCAAAGCTGCTGTAAACTGAATAGGTGGAAAATGGGGTTTAGCTCTGCCCATTCACACTGAGGAACATTTTAAACTGGACTGCTACATCAGAGTCCTTTGTTTCAAGGAAGTGAGGAAAATTCTGTTTTCCAAGACATTAACATCACTGATTTTGTTTTTGTTTGTTTGTTATAGTTTTACCAGATTTTCCTCTTAATATCTTCATTTTCAATTCTAGCCACTATCTAGGTCTAGGTCTCCTCCTATCACAAAATGCTACCAAGCTGTGTGGGTGAGGCACATACCTCCTCTGAGACACATGAAGCCACATCTTTTCAAACTGCTGCTAACACAATATCAGTGGACAGCTCAACACACTACTCATTCTGTTATGTCAGCTAACAGACAACTGTATTGGCTAGTATTATGATGAGTGATGGGCAGACAGGGAGGACCAGAGGACCATTGTATCCACCAACTGAGAGCGAGGCCGGTTATACTCTCTTGGATCCTCAGCTACAGATGGCTGTGGCATTGCCAGGGATCGAACTCACATTAGCTCCACTCTGGAGCTGACATCTCTGATTCTCAAGTTCAATCTCTTTTTCTGTCAATACAGATGAATAATTTAAACATGGCCTCATCCAGCATTCTTAAGTAAAAATCAACAGCAAGCAGAGGAAAATTAAATATAGCCTAACATTCATCACACAATACAAAATAGGTCACATTCATTACCCAATAAAACTCCTTACGTCTCTGTTTTAGATATGCTAGTGGATGTGCCTCTGCACAGCCAAGTCAAATTAGCTTGAGCAGATTTGATTTGCCTACAGTGAGAATACAGTATTAAAGTACTGTTAGTCTGTTTAATAAAGGATCAAAACTATTGACATCTAGACTGCTGACATGTTTATCTCAGTCTAATATTGAAAAAGCATTGAACTTTCAGTACATCATATAACAGTAGTGTGGACTATGAAATAGTTTGTGTGATTTGAGGAGAACAGCAACTGCTTCTAGAGCTCATTTCAGAATGGTGAGCCTGGAGTTCAAACTACTGTTGCTACTCTACTGCTCTGCTTCTCTCTCTCTCTCTCTCTCCTTTTTTGTCTGTAGCACCCTGTTCCTTTTTTCTTTTCTCTCTTTCTCTCTCCCTTTCTTACTTTCTCTCATTTTCTTTTTTTTCTATTTCTTTCTGTACCTCTCTTGCTCTCTCTCTCTCTTTCTCTTTGTCTCTCTTTTCTTTCTACAGCAGTTTTCCTGTTCCTTTCTTGTTTTCTCTCTCTTTTTTTTACTTTCTCTCCTTTTCTTTCTTTTTCTTCTATTTCTCTCTCTCTCTCTCTCCCTCTCTCTCTCTTACTCATACGTTCTTTATTTCTTTCTCTCCTTCTTTCTTTCTCTCTCTCTGTCCTTCTCTGTCTGTGGCACTCTTTCTGTTCCTTTGTTGCTTTCTCTCTCCCTTTCTTACTTTGTCTTTTTTCTCTTTTTCTATGTCTTTCTGTAACCCCCTCTCTATCTTTCTCTCACTTTCTCTCTCTTTCTCTATCTTTCTCCTGTCCTCTCTCTCTCCATCTCTCATCTCTCCTTCTCTCTCCCCCCCTCTCTCTCTTTCTCTCCTTTTCTTTCTCTTTTTCTATTTCTTTCTCTACCTCTCTCCTGTCCTCTCTTTCCTCTCTCTGTCTTTCTCCCTTTCTTTTTCTTTCTCTCCTTTTTCTCCTTTCCTGTCTACCTCTCTCTCTGCCTCTGTCCTTCTTTCCGAAGGCAGTCTGTTTGCTGTGTGGTGATTTGCTGTGCTGTGCTGTTTACAGTGTTGTGCTGCCGTAATTGTGTTGGCACCCTAATCAGTTTTGTTTATCACACATGAACACTGCAGAAATAGATGTGTAAATATCTTCAATCAAGGCAGTAAATCTAAGGCTAAATCCAAAGCTAGTCTTCCCTCAGGAGAGTAATTGTCTTGCGCCTGTAGCACTTCCCTTACAATATTACTCAGCCTTTTGCTGCGTATTTTTACTTATTCATAAATAATCTTATTTGGCTTTTTTCCCTTTAGCCTTAAGTGTCTTTCAGAGGTTTTTATCTGTGCACACGCACAGCCAGTGGCAATCGCCAGGGTATTTTATAAACAGGCTGTGCCTTTGAGACAGAGCTCTGCTCTGATTAGTGGCCCTGTGTTGTGCCTCATTCAAAAAGCTGTCTGGGCTGAAACACTCATAACTTCAAAATTAAATATTAAATAATTTAAATTGTGTCTCTTGGCTGGTTAGCATATCAGCTATTGGCCAGCCTACTTTAACCACTTTAAATGGCCAGGGCCCAGCAGCAGGCCCAGAGTTTCTTCACATACTTCTAGAACCTAAGAATAGCTCAGGCAGTTTGCGTTGAAGTCCCAGCGGTTACTGAATAATAAGCCTTAATATGTAATAAGCCTGGGAATGTTAAGGGGTTAATGAGGTCAGAATATATTCCATTTATAGAGAATGTAAAATATAGAGCGGAGAGGTGTTAAGAGCTAGTTTTTTTTTTATTTGTATTGTACATTGGTTTTGATTTACTGCTTCATGTGTCCCTCGTGTTTATAGAGAATCGTTTTTTAGTACTGCTGAACTGGTCCGCTGCAGAGCATCCGCCCTCCGACACGAAAATGAATTGGTTGAGTCAGACATTCAATTCACTGAAAGAACCAGTTCAGTAAAATCAATTGAACTTCCCATCACTGTTTTCTGGTGCAAATGTTCCAGCAGTGGAAAAAGCCCCCCTTAGTGTCTATATATAGATCATTCTACCGATTTTTTTCAAACTGCAGTAAAAAAATGATTGGATGTTTACAAGGATTATGTTATGATCTGTTTAAACCCAAGATATTAACTGAGTAATAAGCTAAATATATAAAAATCCATCATTTATAGGGCACTTTCTGTAGGGAGGTGTTTATCCCAAACCCTGACCCCTAAATTTCAACTTGTAAAAATAATACTTCATTCATTTAATTAATTTATTTAACTATTTTAAATTGAAGTGAAAATATTTAGATTTATCACAAGTTTAAGTTTTTAAATAAAAAACTTTATTCAAAAAATGCTGTCCAGTGTTTTCATGTCACTACCGAAACACAGTTTTAGCCCATTGGCGGAGCCTTATTTTATCCACACCTCTGCGTTTCAGAGCAGGATGAGAGACTGCATCCCTGTCCCTCATGACCACATGGTGAGCAGTTAGATCCCATTGTTTTGAAGTATATGTATCCCAAGGTCTGAAAATAAGTGTGTAATAATAAGAATTGTCACTGCTGACATTTAGTAAAGTTCAGAGGCATTATTGTTGTTTTGTTAGTGACAAAATGGAAAGTTCAATCATTTATTTTAATGTCTGATTAAAAACATAATTAAGGAATATGGTGGCTCAAAGCAAAAGGAGTCCAAGTGTGTGTGTGTGTGTGTGTGTGTGTGTGTGTATGTGTGTACGCATTCATGTTCGGGCTCAGCAGTGATGCTTGCTCTCATCAGGTTAATATCCACTTTTCATTTAGCTCATTCATCATTTATTGCAGCATCCCACTATTTTTCTCTTTCATCCTCCTGCATTTGGGAAACAGCTGTTTCTGCTTTCATTTTTCATTGTCACTGTTGGGTTTTCATTTTTCCACCTGTCTTTTTATCAACTCTAAATCTTCACCATGTATTAATCTCTCTCTCTCCCTCTCTCTCTCTCTCTCTCTCTCTCTCCCTCTTTTACCCTTTTTTTACTCTATTTTTCTCTAAAACAACCCACACCCTTTTCCACTGACACTCCTCTTTTCCTATAAACCACCAACCCCCTGCCATGTGTGTGCTACCAGTATGCAGAAGGGAGATATTGGGTGTATTCCCCTGTTTCACATCGACGCAAACTCAGCCCGAGCCACTACGACCTTGTAAGTGAACAGAATCAGAAGTCCCAGGGAATATAGTAAAAATAATAAAAATGTTTACATGATCCTTAACTT